GGTGGAGCAAGATTTGTGGAGATCAGGAGTTTAGATGATTTAGATACTTGTTAGTCATCAAGTGAGGAGTTGGATATCTGAGTCTGGAACTCAGGAGAGCAGTCTGGGATGAACATATCAACTGGGAAGTCATCAGCATATGTTGTTGTTGTTAGTGGCCAGTAAGCGACCCATCTGACTCATAGGGACCCATCAGCTTTAAAGATGATATTTAAAGCCACAAGACTGGATTACACCATTCAAGGGCAGAGTGTAGATGAAAAAAAGAGATCTATGAACTGAGAAGAAGAGGAAGGATTGTCAAAAGAAACTAAGAAGAAGAAACAAGGGTGGTAGGAGGAGAATCAGGACAGTATGACATCCCAGAGGCCAAATGTAGAAAGCAGTTCCTGGAAAGATTGGTAAAACATCAAAAACTTCTGATGAATCACTTAAGATGAAAACTCTGAATGGACTACTGGAGTTAACCACATACCACCGGTGATCTTGATGGAAACAGTTTTGGTGGAGTGTGGGAGTGGGACAAAAGCTTGACTGGAATGAATTTCAATCAGAAAATGGGGCAGTGGTTGGTAGGGGAAGTGAGATTAAAAAAAAAAAATTAGTTTTTCTCTTTAAGATAAATATAGTATTTCTGATGGAAATATTAGATATTCCCATATACATTCTGTATTCTTTCCACTGGTCTTACATATTTATTCCCAAACCCATACCATATTTTCACTTACTCATTAACAGCTTGAGATACACCAATGACACAACCTTGCTTGCTGAAAGTGAATAAGACTTAAAGCACTTATTGATGCTTTAAGATCAAAGAGTAAAACCTTCAGTATTGATTATACCTCAACAGAAAGAAAACAAAACTCTTCACAACTGGACCGATAAGCAACCTCATGACAAATGGAGAAAATATCAAAATTGTCAAGGATTTCATTTCACTTGGATCCACAATCAATGCCCATGGAAGAGGCAGTCAAGAAATCAAATGATGATAGTGCATTGGGTAAATCTGCTGCAAAAGATCTCTTTAAAGTGTTGAAAAACAAAGATGTTGTTTTGAGAGCTAGGTGGACCTGAAGCCAGCCATGGTCTGTGTGATAGTTGGAACTGTGTGTCAATTTGGCTGGGCCACAATTCTGTGTGGTTTAAGCAGTTGTGATGTGGTTATTCCCATGATGGGATCAGATGAATATGTTTTGAGCAGCCAATCTGTTGAAAGGGAGTTTCCCTAGGGGTGTGGCCTGCTTCCAGTATATTTATGGACATCCTGGGATAAGAGACGTTCTTCTGTGGATCAGGATTCTGTTGTGCTGCCTACAACTGTCCGTGAGCAAACAATCCACCATTCGGCCTGGAGATCTTGAATTCATCATTCGTTGGAGTCAACAGTCAGTATCCTGCCTGCCTGCCAACCTTGAGCTCCTCACCTCTGCAGCTGTGAGAGTCGGGAAAAGCCTCCAGCTTGATGTTTGATCCAATAATTTTGAACTTGCCAGGTTCTGTAAGTGTGTGAGCCATTTTCCTGAGATAAATTTCTCTTTCTCTCTCTTTATAAGCTTTACTGGTTTTGTTTTTCTAGAGGACCCAGTCTAACACACTATGTTCAATTGCCTCACATGCATGTGAAAGCTAAACAATGAATAAAGAAGACTGAAGAATTGATACATTTGAATTATGGTGTTGGTGAAGAATATTGAATATACCATGGACTTCCAGAGAACAAACAAATCTGTCTTGGAAGAAGTGCAGTCAGAATGGTCCTTAGAAGGGAGGATGACAAGACTTCACCTCGTGTACTTTGGACATGTAATCAGGAGGCACCAGCCCCTGGAGAAGGACATCTTGCCTGGTAAAGTAGAGGGTCAATGAAAAAGATGAAGACCCCCAATGAGATGGATTGACACAGTGGCTGAACCATGGGCTCCGCAATGGTCATGAGAATGGTGCAGGACCAGACAGTGTTTTGTTCTGTTGTACACAGAGTTGCTGTGACTCACAGCTGACTCAACAGCATGGAATAAGAGCAACAAATTACAAGTTCTAAAAATATATATATATTTTTTTGAGTATTTGCAGCAGATGCTGGTGCTGCCCCATGCATTGCCTGTCATCATTTAACATCCTCATGCAAGCTGCCAAGGTTTCCAGCTGCCAGAACCTTCAAGTGCTTACCTGAGAGCTCTCTGTCTCTTGGATCTTCCTTTATCTGGGTGCAAAGCAGATTGGAGGTGCCAGAGAATTAAGGCTCCCACAGAGGGCAGCCCCCAACCAATGTTGTTGTTGTTGTTATGTACCGTGGAGTCAGACCCGACTCATAGTAACCCCTCCTTGGGTTTCCGAGGCAGTATCACTACGGAAGTAGATTGCCCAACCTTCCTTCCAAGGAGGTTCAAACCCACCAGCCTTCTGGTTAGCAGTCAAGTGCCTTAGGCACTATGCTACCAGAGCCCCAACCAATAGCTGATGTGAAATATGGGTAAAAATGGAGCTTCCTTGACCCTCAGATGGGATAACTCTGAGATGTGTTCTCATTGACTCCCAGAGTTCCTCAGTGGACTGAGTGCCAGTAACTCACAGTGGTAACTTATTTCCTAACACACTTTTAATGGGTTACTTCCCTTGTCCCACTGCCCCACCAGTGTTTCCCAAATAAAGTGTTTGCACTGAAATCCTTGTTTCAGGGTTCACTTATGGGGGAACCCAAGCTAAGATTTTACTAAGAGTGAGATAGGGAGACATGTGGGAAGGAATGGCTGGTAGCCTATAGATGGCCTGGCCTGGGGTCATCACTTGGTCTGGTACAGATCCATTGGTGGGTCATTGGCAAAAGCTTTGAGGGTTGTACAGACGTTCTGAGACTGTGCCCACACCTTACAGAGAGTGGGCCCTTAGTCACTGTTCAGGGCAGGGAGGAATCAGTACATCTAAGCTAGAGCAGCCACTTGTGGTAGTCAGGGTGTGAAATTTTTTACCCCCAAACCCACAGCTTATCTCTTAAACTACTTTGCCACACACACTGCTTTGTATTTTCTCATGCTGGGCCCATGGCCTTGTTCCTCTTTCCTAAGCCCTCTTATCCTCTTAACAAGTATAGATACTTTGTTATTTTAAGTGATCTATTTTTTCTTGATTAAAAAAGTCATTTATGTTTCTTTATATAAAAGTTTTAAATGAGAAAATTAAGATCATCCTGTGACATTAAAAATAGCCCCAAATATTTTGACATTGCTCCTATTACGAGGTGGGGTCTCTGTCTCCTCCCTTTGAATGTAGATGAACTCTGATCAATAGAATAGGGTAGATGTGACTTTGCTAGTTTCCAGATCAAGACCTTAAGAGACTAAGTTTCCACTTGCTCTTGAAATTTAGCCACCAAATTGTGAAAAGGCCAAGCCACATGGAAAGGTCACTGGCAAATGCTTTCATCAAGACTCCAACTGAGGACCCCACCTACAGCTAGCTATGTGAGTAACCCATTTTGCAAGTCCAGCCCAATTGAGCCTTTGAATGACTCCAGCTCCAGCCATGATTTGATTACAACCATGTCACAACGACCCAGCAGAGGCTGGTCTTGGAGTGGTGTGCTATGTGGCAATAAACAACCAGAACACACCCTAAATCTTATCATCCCTAGCTAACCACCGCTAATGCTTGAGTTTTCCTGCATGTAGATGTTTCTAAACAGATCATTTAAAAACAAACTGTATGAAACTTTTATGGACTTTTTCAGTCAGCAAACATTTATCTCCACTTAAGTTTAAGGAAGGAGTGCCAGGGGCAAAAGAAAAGTGCTAGAGAAAGAGTGAGAAAGTTATTGACTTGAAAATCACATATAACAATCATATACAAGATACAGTTTGCCCTTCTACGTATTTCATATAATTTGATGCTGAAAGTATTTCCTGCATCTTTGGAAACATTAGACACCACCACCCACCCACTGCCGTTGAATCAGATCCGACTCATAGCAACCCCTCCTTAGCTTTCTGAGGCAGTATCACTACGGAAGTAGATTGCCCAAACTTCCTTCCGAAGAGTGGCTGGTAGGTTTGAACCATCAACCTTCTGGTTAGCAGTCAAGTGCCTTAGGCACTAGGCTACCAGAGTTTTATTAGAAATGACTGCATATAATGGAACATAAAGATATACCACCAACGAAGCATCACTTAACCATTCCTTTGGTGTTGGGTATTGAAGTTGTTCTAGTTTTTCACTAAGGAGCTCTGATGGTATAATGGTTAAGGCATTTGGCTGCTAACCAAAAGGTTGGTGGTTCAAACCCACCAGGTGTTCTGCCAATGAAAGTTGAGGCAGTCTGCTCCCAAAAAGATTTACAGCCTTGGAAACCCAATGGGGGTCGCTACGAGTTGGCATCACCTCGATGGCAGCGAGTGAGTGAATTTTTCACCACTGAAAACAATGCCGCAGTGAACAAAGTTGTGTGTACATCATTGGCTGTTCTTAGTTATTCCTTGGGATAAATTATTGAAAGTGAAAATGCTGGGGCAAAGGTTTGAGTATTTTTCTTTTTTAAAGGAAAGTGTTATTCAAAGTGTACTAGGTATCTTTGCTCCTGCATTGTCCTTGGTGATAGCTACAAGAGTGGACACAGCTTGTTTTTGTGGGTGGGAGGAGGAGCATTTTGCAGTTTGTTTTAAGGGGAGACACAGATACGTTCCAGGAGGCAGGCCCTAAGTGTCATTCATGGTGCTTTGGCCAACCCCAGAATCAGGTAGGTGACAAAGGACACTTTCTTGATAGTATCCTTGATGGCCTAGGCCAAGAAACTGGGTGGGAGGGAGAACAGGCTGTGTAGTCTGGGGAGGAAGGTCAAGCAAAGCTTTGAGCTCACTGAATCTCCGCCCTCTTCCTTTGAGTCTCTAATCCGACTTCTCCCTCCTACTTCTCTCTTTTGTTTTTGCCCTTCCTGGCTTCAGTGGGTTCCTTGAGGTAGTTCAGTGATGCCTAGAGCCTGGTGGTTCCTGCTGCTTTCAGCCATGACCAGCAGAGTCCTTCTCTTGACAGGTACACATGGGACTAAGGGGAGCTCCTCAGGTTGGGAAGAGGGAACTTTTGGATCTATGAGTGTAGACATAGGGTGCGGAATAGCTATGAGTTAGAGTGCAGACAGGGAAAGAGGATACAAGGAAATATAACAGGTTACAGAAGAAGTAGAGCTGGACCAAGATGAGACGGCCAGAGGAGCTAGGACAATGACTAAGTTTATAGACTGGACAAGGGGCTTTGGCTGATACCTTCACTATACAGATGAGGGAACTGAAGTCCAGAGAGGTGAAGTGACTTGCCCAAGGGTGCACAGCTGGTATTGGACTCTTTTCTGTGTCTTTCCTTTTGGACTCCACTTCACCACCTTTAGTTTGCTTCTAATTCTATTTTCTAAGCCTCCAGGGAGTAAATGTTTGGTGAATGATTGGCCGATCAAAATGATTCAAGTTTGTTTCCTTTATGCCTATGTTTTGTGGAGAATGGACTAAAGAAGGGAAGACAATGCTTGAGAGTTGTGTAGGAAGGAATTTACGTAATGGAGAGACTATAGGAAGCTGATGATTGAGCAAATCAGCAGAGTGGGGACACTGGAGGAAAGGACTCCTGTGAACTTAGGGGCTGGGTGGAGCCCAGAGAGGAGCTGAATGTGTTCCAAGATAGTGGTTCTGAATATGTCCCAAAGATTGGAAAACTACAGCCTGTGGGACAAATGTGACCCACAGCATGCTTTGTATAAACTGTGAGATAAGAATGGTTTTTACAGATCAATATTTGTAATTGATTTGATGATAAGAACACTAACTTTGAACTCCAATTAAATGAATATCATTTATTCATTTAATTAAAGAATATCACTTGTCTCATTATAGACCTATCTTGCTGCAACAACAGGCTTAAGCATAGCAAGGGTTGTGAGGATGGCACATGACCGGGCGGCGTTTTGTTCTGTTATATGTAGGGTCACTATGAGTCGGAGTTGGCTCCACAGCATCTAACAACAACAACATATTACAAAAAGAATGTGCTCAATTATTATTGTTATACTTAGAATTCCTTCAAGAAAAAATTGTGGAATTATATTTTCTCTCCTGCTATGGAAGGACCTATGTAGCATACTCTATTTTCTCTCTTGGCCACAAAGCCTAAAATATTTATTATCTGGTCCTTTATAGAAAATGATGCTGAGCCCTCCCCCCAGGGTATCCGAATTGGACCTGGGTAGGAGGCAGACGTGAGGATGCTGGGTTAGGGTGAACCCAGGTATGAAGATTCATGGAGCAGAAGGACAAACTCCTTTTCTGCACTTAATTCTTACCCCCTTATTTTCCCTCCAGCCCTGGCCTTATGTCATGGATTCAACCTGGACACAGAAAATGCAATAACCTTCCAAGAGAATGCAAAGGGCTTTGGACAGAGCGTGGTCCAGTTTGAGGGATCCCGGTAAGAGACTCAGGTGGAGTTTTCTGTCTAACAGCCTTTCTCTCCAGGATTTAAACACTTGGAAAAAATAGCAATTTTCTTGATTTAGTCTTTGAATAGGTAATAAAGTAACAGGGTTCTAAGTTGAAGACATAAAAGGGGGGTGATAGTAAAATGTCTCCCTCTCACTCTTGTCCCCCAGTTCCCTTCCAGGAGGAAACCTAGTAAATGGTTTCTTATGGGTTCTTCCAGAGCGATTCTATGCTTTTTTATACATAGACATTCCCATCTGTTTTGGATCTCTAGTGCCGCTCTAACAGAAGATACACGCGTAGATGGCTTTATCAAACAGGAGTGTATTATTTTATAATCAGGAAGCTAGAAGTCTGAGTTCAAGGTGCCAGCGGTAGGGGCTGGGTGAAGGCCCCTCGACCTTGGGCTTCAGCTCTGCCTCTTGTTCCCGGCCCACTGAAGCTGGAGGCTTCTCTTAACTCAGACAGCTGCTGGCTGCTGAGGCAGACAGACCCAAGGTCAATAAATAAAATGGCACAGTCCCAAGATCATTGAACAACATAGCAGGGCACTAGTTCAAGTCCAGAAATGGTCCCAAGATCAGCAGGAAATATGACAGGCTGCTGAATGAGGTCTCAGCTACATGCAGTGCCCAAGTGTGCCAAAAAGCTCAGAGACCATTCTTCTTAGATACTGGAAGTAGACAGCATCCCTAAGCTACTACTCAGCTGCTCTAGTAAATTCCACCATGGAGTTGACTACCAATCTCATCATAGGGACTAACTACATCCGGCTGCCCAGCCGCTCAAAACCAAACCCAGTCAAGTTGACACACAACTTAACTACCACCCCATCCTACTCACCCACAACTTCTCGTATACAATACACTCTGTACTAACAGTTGGGCAAACTATGGCCTGTGAGCTGCTGTGTTTTTGTTAAGTACAATTGTATTGAACATGGCCCTGCCCACTCATTACTTATTATCTGTGACTTTTTTTGAACTACAATGACTGAATTGAGTAGCTGCAATCCAGACTGTCTCGTTGCAAAACCTAAAATAGTTATTATCCGGCTCTTTACATGAGAAGTTTGCCGACCTCTGCTAGATGCTGTCTCTTGTCCTTTTTTCGGCTTGGTGATTTTGCAAGATAAGTACATAAAGAGCTTCCCCGTTCTTCCTTGTGCTTGAATTGTACTCCATTGTATGGAGGTACTGTACTTAACACTGACAATACAGTAAATCTTTCCTTTCACTCTCTTTCTTTTTTAAAAAAGTTTTTTCTTAATTGATGTTTAGATTGTTCCCAGACTTTTACTCTATAAGCACTACTGTAATTTTGCACATGTGCAAGTATATTTGGAAACACTTTCCAGAAGCAGTAATTTTAGGGTTCTTTTTGGATTACCCTTCATAGAGGTGGCAACAATTCATACTCACACCAGATATTTCTGAAAACACCTGGCTTACTATGACTTTTGTTCTGGTTACCTAGTGCTGCTCTGACAAGCATATACCACAAATGGGATGGCCTTAACAAACAGGAGTTTATTCTTACAACTTGGAGGCTTTAAGTCCAAGTTCAAAGTGCCAGGCTCTAGGGGCTGAGTGAAAGCCCCTCAACCTTGGGGTACAGCTCTGCCTCCTGCTCCTGGCCCACTGAAGCTAGAGGCGTTTCTTCACTCAGACAGCTGCTGGCTGCTGAGACTGAGAAGCCCCAAGGATGACAAGTCAAAAGGCACAGTCCCAATGTTACCAAACCACACGGCAGGTCATTAACTTAAGTCCATTGTAAGTCCCAAGGTCGGCAGAGCATGGCAGGCTGCTGAGCAATGACATGGCTACACGCAGGGTCCAAGCATGCCATAGGCTAGAGACCATTCCCAAGGCTTCTCCTTAAATACAGGAAGCAGACCACATACCCAAAGCAGCTACTCAGCTGCTTGTGGTAGATCCCACCATGGAATTGATTGCCAGTCTCATCATGGGGAATAACTACCACCAGCTGCCCAGCCACTCAACAAGGCCCAGCCAAGTTGACACACAAACATAACTACCTCAACTTTGCAAACCTATTGTGTTATCAAACATTGACTTTTGTGAATTGGATAGGTGAGAAATGATATCTTAATTTAGGTTTATTTTTGAATCAAGGTACTATACACATAAAATTTACCATTTTAACAATTTTAAAGTGTATAATTCAGTGAATTTGGGCACAGTCACAATGTTGTACAACCATCCCCACTATCTAGTTCCAGAACTTTTTCATCACCCCAAACAGAACCCCGTTAAGCAGTCACTCCTCATGCTTCCATCTCCCCATCCCTTGGTAACCACTCATCTAATTTTTCTTTCTATAAAAGGAATCATACAACATGTGGCTTTTTGAGTCTGGCTTTTTTCACTTAGCATAAAGTTTTCAAGATTTGTCCATGTTCTACCATGTATCAGTACTTCATTCCTTTAAATTAATGTATTATTTATTTTATTGTGACTTGGATGGAAGTTTCCAGAGCAAATTCATTTTCCACACAACAGTTCATACAAGTTTTGTTTCATGACACTGATTGGAATCCCCACAATGCAACAGCTCTCTTCCCACTTCCTCCCTGTGGTTACCTTTTCCCTGTGTCCTTCTCTCTCATGCGTTCCTGCCCCCTGAGCTATCTTCCTGTGAAAATACTGCCCTTCTGACCTCCCATGGTTCATCATTCTAAGGAGTACACCTACCTGATTAGGATTAGGGATAGGGTCCAATTCCACCCCTGAAGGGTGACTAGGGGCCATAGTCTCAGGGTTTCACCAGTCTCTATCAGACCAGTTAGCCTGATCTTTTTTAACTTCATTCTTTTTTATGGTCAAATAATATTCAACTGTATGGGCATACTTCCTTTTGCTTATCTACTCACAGGTTGATGGACATTTTCATTGTTTCCACTTTTTGGCAGTTATGGATAGTACGGCTATGAGCATTCATGTACAACTTTTTGTTTGACCATTTATTTTCAATTTTGGGGAGGTGTGATCTGCAAAAAGGAATGGGGGCAGCATCTTCTGGTCTCCTGTAACTTCACAAGAGGAAGACAGAATCACCATCAGCAGCCCAAGGCTTATTCTTATGAGGCCAGACATGCCACCACCTCTGGTAACACCTTTGATACCATCTGTCCTTCCCACGCAGTCACTACTTCTCTGCTGGGTTTGATAATTCATTGCAATGGCTACACACTCAGAACTTACAGGCAACACTCATGATTATGGGGCTTATTAGGGAAGTAACAGGCTACAATGCAGTTTAAGGAATGTGCTCAGGATACAATTCTTCAATCAGGACAGCCTCCCCTCTGCTGTGCCCTCAGGCATGTCTCTCCAGCCCTTGGCCTCTTGGCTTGGTCTCTGCATTGCTCAGGCAAGTGTTACAAACCCTTTTAGCTCTACCAATAAGTGCACCTAGGTGCACTCCACTCTGCCAGCAAGACTCCTGCCCAAAGGCACTCAGCTTTCTCACTCTGTGGGTTGGCAAGCCTGCCACTCTGGCTTGTGCCTCTTGGTTCTGCTGCCACCGTGTCTTTGCTGGTGGTCTCTGCTGTCTCTCTACCACGGAACTCCAGTGCAGGCATCTCTGGTCCAAGGACGTGTTCTAGTCCACCTCCAGCTCTTCTCTCTTGATGGTAGTGAGATCTCCTCTTTTACCTCTAAGGGGGCTCATTTTAAGTCCAGCAGCACAGCAAAACTAACCAATCCTCACATTAGAGTTCCATACACCTTATTTGCATGGTCCTACCCAGTAATCTGGTGGGTATCACAAAGACTATGGCTAGAAAAACCATCCAAGTAATTACTGTACCACATATACACAGGAAAGGAATTTCTGGGTCATATGGTCACTTGTGTTTAACTTTTTGAAGAATGGTTAAACTCTTTTCCAAAGCAGCTGACTATTGCAATGTATGAGGGTTGCAAATTCTCCACATCCTTGCCAGCACTTATTATTATTATTATTTTGAAAGTATAACCATTCTTGAGGAGGAGCTCTGGTAGCATAATACCTAAGGCACTTGACTGCTAACCAGAAGGCTGGAGGTTCAAACCCACCAGACACTCCTCGGGAGGAAGATGGGGCAATATACTTCCGTAGTGATAATGCCCCAGAAACCCAAGGAGGGGTCGCTATGAGTTGGGCCCAACTCGACAGCACATAACAACAACAACAACCATTCTTGTGGGTGTGTAGTGGTATCTTATTGTTCTGATTTGTATTTCTCTGATGACTAATGATGTTTATTATCTTTTCATGAGCTTGTTTGAGTATCTTCTTTCAAATCTTTTGACCATTTTTAAATTGGGTTGTTTGTCTTTTTGCTGGTGATTTTTTTCATTTGTTTGTTTTGTTTGTATGTTTTTATTTTTTAATTTTATTATGAGTCAGGGCTGACTCGACGGCACATAACAACAACAACAACAAATTGTGATTTGAGTGGAAGTTTACAGAGCAAATTCATCTTCCATATAGCAGTTCCCATACACTTGGTCTCATGACATTGACTGTAGTCTCCCACAATGCAACAGCTCTCCTCCCACTTCCTCCCCCTAGCCACCTCTTCCCTGTGTCCTCCTCTCCCAACCCCTCCTGCCC